TACGTTCACTAAAACTCATTGCACCATTGCAGCGGGTGAGTTTATAGTATGTACGCTATACCTCAATAAAGCTGTTTTATTTTTTTTTAGGCTCAAGTATCCTTATCTTTTAAAATATTTAAAATTTTAATTTTCAATTACAGTTCACATTCAATATTATTTTGTATTAGTTTCACTCCAGCTCTGTGGCCTGGCTCCAGCTCTGAGTCTGCGGCTGGCTGAAAGCAGGTATCTGGAGCTTGTTTAGCTTCTATAATTGCAACATAGTTTCTTAGAGTGCAGCTCAGAGGCCGGCAGCAGCAGGCAGGGAACGTTGGCTTCCTCCTTCACTGGAGCAAACAAGCCTCCTGTTCGCTTCAGCTGCCTGGCTGGCGGCCGCCATCTTGGTTGGCAGTTAATTTGCATATTGCTCTGATTAGCCAATGGGAAGGGTAGCAATGTTATGGTTAATTACCATGTTTGTCTATTATTAGATAGGATAATTCCCCCATTCTCAGTTTACTCCTGTGTTAAGAAATTGTAATAAAACTTAGGAGAAAAATTATCTTGATTAAATTATATATAACTTAATCAGCAATGGCAAAAATATGATGGTGGTCATTTAAATATACCAATGGTTAGCATTAACATTACAGATCTCTATGGTAACAACACGGATTTTTAAACATACTACAGAAAATTTTATTCAGTTAACCCTTTCAAGATGGCTAATTTGATAGTTTTTAGTGCGGAAAATACTTTTTAATCTTTTTGGACTACCTTCAGAGGCTACATCACATCAATGCTCAGAAACTTTGTATCTGTGTATATGAATTGTAGTCAAGTTGAATTAATATAATTGGTTATATTGGGGATAGTAATATTTTGACTACATGGTTCTTTAGTCTTGAGATAGCCCATAAGACAGTTCTAACAAAATTTTCAAAACTTAAAGATAGAAATGTAAAGACAGGTCTAGATATGAAAATTTTCAGTTCACATTTAGTCTTTAGCAGGAAAAATGTAAGATAGCCAGTGAATGGTAAGCCATGCTCAACATGAGAGAAGCATGTTTGCTGAGATTGACGCCCTTTCACTTGTGTTGATAATTTTGTTAGTTTTAATATTGGATCAGGCACACTGATCACATATGCTATATACCTGTCAGCATAAAATTATTATGCAAACATATGGTGTCTTCATACTCTTTTTTTTTTGTCCTCATATTCTTACCTTAGTTTCCGAACAAAGAGCCATGATTATATGGAAAGCAATATACTCAAATGCTATACTGTCTTCTTTTTTGTTTATATAATGGCAGTATTTGGAGCTTTTAACCCAATCTTAGTTAAGTTCGTTTTTTGTTGGGTTTTTTTTTTGGGGGGAGGGGGTAGGATGGAAGTGTGGGGGACAATGAAGAAAACACTAAGTTGGGTTAATTCAAGAAGCATTCAAATCATAAAAAGAAGAATAGCATATAAGATAACTCATTGAACCCAAGAACTGTAAATACAGTTTGACCTCACAAGGGACTGTGAGCATAAATGGAAGGTTTTGTCGATTCGTATTCTCTGAAAACATTCTTCTGTCTCCACTGTGTTTTGGCTACCCCACCACTAACGTTCATATGTCCTCATTTCTCAGTTGACCAATTTAGACTATGACCAAAATTTAAGGAATTCAATGAGAGGTAATTGGTCCAGCCTAGGTTAGGCTTCTCCCTTGGATCAAAGCAGCTGTGGACAGAGAGGCAGGGTCATGAACCCAGCCTGAATGTGTTATGTAGGAGGGTTGGTATGGGGAGATGAGTAGGAGTAGGGACAAGATTCAGAGAAGGAGAGCACATGACATAGGCATATCCCCAAATTTATCTACCTACTCTATTAATATGTGTCAAAATTGAAGTAAACCTTAGTCAAAACTGATCTTATATTTGGGCCATATATTTTCTAGAATAATTAAATGTATCATTGTGTAGTGTGTGTGTGTGTGTGTGTGTATTAGTATTTATATTTTATAGCAAAAATATATAATGGGAAATACTGTACTTAGAGTGTACCTCAGTGATTGGATTCATTTGAGAAGGAAAGGGATTATTTTTTATTGATGAAAGCTTATGATTTTTAAAATATATTTTATTGATTTTTTTTACAGAGAGGAAGGGAGAGGGAGAGGGATACAGAGTTAGAAACATCGATTCAGCTGCCTCTTGCACGCCCCCTACTGGGGATGTGCCCGCAACCCAGATACATGCTCTTGACCGGAATCGAACCTGGGACCCTTCAGTCTGCAGGCCGACGCTGTATCCGCTGAACCAAACCAGTCAGGGCTGATTTTTTGAGCCTGTCTTGCTTAACTGAGTACCCAAGAATTCAGCAACACCGTGCCTCGAGCTCTTTGGAGCCCAAGTATTACATGTATAAATCTAACAATTGCACTTGTCCCAGTCTTATCTGAGCCTGTGGTAAAGGTCAGACAACCGCTGAAAGGCCTGGGGACCGAGCTGATGGAACTCATGTCCAGTGCTGTAAAAGCAGACATTTTGGATGTGTCCCGATCTTTATCATGATGAATCAACTTAGGAGACATTTATCAATCTGTTCTCTCCTCCCTGGTTCTTCCACCAACTGCACCACTGAATTACCATGTTGCCTGGATACACACAGACATCTATTTAAATAATTAGTACTTTTATTTTGGACAGGGGCCAATCATCCTTATTTTGCATGAAAACAGGCAGCATGGATCACCGTAGCATGAGACATTTGGTACAATTTCACTTATTTGTATCAATTTCTATACTAAGTATAGAAAATCGGGGGTGGAGGGGAAGGGGGAACCCTCTTGGATGTAATAACTTTTAAAAAGAAGTTAGGACAGTTACATAAGCAACAGCTCGTAACATGCTTCATAATTACAGATATAAGCAGATGTACGTAAAGATAAGGAGTGCTGACAGGACATAAAATTCAGAGACAAACATGTCAATCCTTTCTCGGTTTAGCCCAGTCAATACAATTCCTCAAGGCTAATTTGGTTCAGATAGAATCTTTCTTGGAAGCCTTAGCAAAGAGCATCTGAAAGTTTTCACACTAAATTAGGCATGTATTTTTTTCACATAGAAAGAAATTCCATGGTATCACTGCTTACTTTTGCTTTCATACTATTTGACATCCTAATTGGAGGTTTCAAAGGGATTGGTAATATTTTTCCCATGGTGACTATGTGGTCAGCACTTCATCTGTCATATCTCATTTAATCTTTGTAACAACCTCATTGTTCACACGAGGAAACAGAGGTTCTGGGATTGTTGTTACTTGTCCAGGGTTTTCCCGCTTGTGTGTGTGTGTGTGTGTGTGTGTGTGTGTGTGTGTGTGTG